CTTTAGCTTAACATGTTATACACATTAGCTATCATGTTATAGGCTTTAGCTTAACATGTTATACACATTAGCTGTCATGTTATACGCTTTATCTTAACATGTTATACATGTTAGCTATCATGTTATATGCTTTATCTTAACATGTTGTACATGTTAGCTTAACATGTTATACACATTAGCTTAACATGTTATACACATTAGCTTAACATGTTATACACTTTAGCTTAACATGTTATACACATTAGCTATCATGTTATATGCTTTAGCTTATCATGTTATACACATTAGCTATCATGTTATATGCTTTAGCTTATCATGTTATACACATTAGTTATCATGTTATACACTTTATCTTAACATGTTATACACGTTAGCTTAACATGTTATACACATTAGCTATCATGCTATACACTTTATCTTAACATGTTATACATGTTAGCTTAACATGTTATACACATTAGCTTAACATGTTATACACATTAGCTATCATGCTATACACTTTATCTTAACATGTTATACATGTTAGCTTAACATGTTATACATGTTAGCCATCATGTTATACGCTTTAGGTTAACATGTTATACACATTAGCTATCATGTTGTATGCTTTATCTTAACATATTTAACATGTTAAGCTAACGGGTATTACACGTTAGCTATCATGTTATATGCTTTAGCTTAACACGTACACATTAGCTTAACATGTTGTACATGTTAGCTTATCGTGTTCTACATGTTAGCTTATGGTATGGTATGAAGTTTATTCATTTTAAAAAAGTACAAAACAATTCCATAACAATATAAAAAAAGATACAAAAGATTTAAAATGAAAGGCAGCAGAAAGAAAAAAAAAATCTTATTATATCTGCCCCTTTTTTCAAACAATTATTTCAATCACAATAATTTTCAAGTAACAGAACAAAATGAATAACTCTTTCTAATTTTTCTAATTCTAATACAAAACACACACTAAGCTACTTCATATATATCGTCTTATCGTCTTATACATATTAGCTTAACATGTTATACATGTTAACGTGTAACATGTTAAGCTAACGTGTATATTATGTAATCTTATCATGTTATACATGTTGGTGGAAATATGCAAAACAAACTTGTATGTTTGTTTCTAAGCCATTAAGGTTCAGTCTAGTTTTGGAAACACTATGACTTAAAAAATGTTTTTAAAGCGTTTCACATGAGATGTTTAATTTTAATTTCCTTAAATCTCATGGATAAATTGCTGTATTTTTTATCAAAATGTTTTTTTTTTGTATAAGTTTTTTATTTTATTTTATTTTTTTAACTAAGGATATTGGGGACCTGATGGAGATGGTCCAAGGGGCACTTTTGGCCTTCCGGCCTTAAGTTGCCCACATTTGTTTTAATGCATTTTAGAGTTAAATCCAGATTACCGGTAATTAGATATAATTATTTAGATTTTTGCGTCATGAACGTACTGGAGCTTCCTGGCATCTCAGTTCAGTATTTGTGCCAACTGCTCTTCATCAGATTGGGCTGTGTAAAATTACTCATAAAATGAGTCGCCACCATGTGGGGCAGGCTCTGCGAGACTGGCTCGGCAACTGTAATCACAGCTGTATAAACAAACGCAAACTGCTAACTTACTTATTTTTAACACTCTTCTTGCTCCTTGGTGCTCTGTGAATGCGATGCACTGTCTGAGTCACTCTGCTGCAGCAAAGCCCCTCATCATTAAACGTGACATTTAAGGTAAACCACTTATTTTCAGAGTTTTTCCTCCATATTTAAGCTATCAGTTCTGCTCCTTAAACTAAAAGCTTGGTGTTGCACATGTAGCGTTTTGATCTGTTTTTATTTCTTCCTTTTTTTTTTTTCTCTAAAAAATGTTATTTTCTTCTCTCAAATATTGCTTCTAGTATATAAAAGATGGCAAAATACACGTTTTCTTTTGAGTTAGAGTGCAGAGAGAAAGAAAACCGTATCTGAGTGGATAACATTGTCTGTAGGGTAGCCATAGATCTGCAGACTCCTGCTGATATGTTCCATTTTCTCTGTTCTCGATGTGCCTCTCTATTTTACGAGTGCGCTCTGATATCACCAGGGCAACATGGGTGGATGACTGATGGTGTCCATTAGTAAACATAGCCTCCTATATGTGCCATCGGCCTAAAGAGCCAACGTCTTCAACCTACTCCTTTTTATTTTTTTATTTATTTTCCTTTTACCTTTTTACCTCCCCCTTCCTCCACCTGCTCAATTTTTTTTGTCCCTCTGCCCTCCCTCTTCCATCTATCCTCCTTACGGTTGTTTTTCAAAGCTGTGGCTTTGCAGTCAAAAGAGGGATGAGACCATCTCTCTTCCTCTGTACGCACACTCATTTTTTTTTTTTTTCTTACTCAAAGTTGAGGGGGCTGAGAATATCGAGCATTAGGTGAGGAATAAAGAGCCATTCGAACAAACGAAAGGGTCGCTAACTAATATGACAGATGCTGTGTATTGATGAATAATATTAGTGAATTTTCTTTTTTTGTCTTTTAGTCAACAGTAGAGGGACAGAATCTGGCCTTTTTATTGACATGTTGAGTCATCATGTTAGGAGGTTGCACTTTTAAAACCTTTGAATCCTAAAGGCATGCCCTTCAATTCAAATTATTTAAATAGCACAAAGTCAGAAGAAGTCGAAGACAGAAGTCATCTCAGGGCACTGAACAGAAACATTCATATAAAGTAGTCCCTCGTTTATCGTGGGGGATCCGTACCCTGAAGCCCCGCGATAAGGGAAAAACCGCGAAGTCGGAATAGTAGTACAAGTAGTAAGTAGTATTTTGTTTTAGTATTTATATAAATATTAAGGCGTTTTAAACCCTTCCCACACTCTTGCAATATTCTAAACAATGTTTCTATAATGTTTCAATGTTTCTATGCTCTAGAAGAATGTCATGATTTCAGCTCTCTGCCTCGTCTACTCTTTGCCACCTGCATGCGCCCTTGGCCACGCCCACTTCTCCGCTCTGCACGGAGAACAGCTGATCAGCTGCAGCAGGAAGTTTATCCTGCAGTGTGGGCTGCACACAGGTGCAGCCGGTGCTAAATAATGTAAAATAATTATTTTTAAATACAATTCCATGCCAATCGTGCAGCTCATCCATCAATCAGCCAATTGTGTGTCGTGTCCATCTTATTTTGAAAAACCGCAACGGAGCGAGGCTGCGATTGAACCGCAAAGTAGCGAGTGACTACTGTATATTAAAAAAATAAGTTCATGTTATTTATCTGAGGAGCAGACTGCTTTGAATTCACTGACTCATCTTCAGCAAGCACGAAGGCGACAGTGGAAAGGAAAAACTCCCTGATGAGGAAGAAACCTTTAGCAGAACCAGGCTCAGGACAAACGGTCACCTGCTTCGACCGGCTGGGTTTGAGAGGAACAGATACACAATGGCAGGTCAAGAATCACATGTTGAGATAGAAATATTAAAAAATGAAATCTATTCAATTTTTTTCAATTCATTTTAGGAAATTAGATCAATTTGTCCTCTAGTAGTCTAAGCTTATAGCAGCATAACAAGCCAACCCTAACTATAGGATTTATCAAAATGAAAGTCTTAAGTCCAGTTTTAAAACTGGACGATGTGTCAGCCTCATGGACAGAAACTGGATGTTGGTTCCACAAGAGCGGAGCCTGATAACTGAAAGATCTTCCTCCCATTCTGCTTTTGGAAACTCTATGAACCACAAGTAAGCCTGCAATCTGAGAGCGAAGTGCTTTTAGGAAAATATGGAATAATAAGGTCTGTAATATAAGATGGAGCTAGGTTGTTGTAGGTTAGAAGTAAGATTTTGAGTTCAATTCTGAATTTGACAGTTTTTTTATTGCCTGCCACCTGGAAAGGTGAGCATGTGTGCACTTGTCTGTCTGTTAGCAAAATATCTCCTGAACCACTGGCGGAATTTTCATGAAACCCAGAAAGTAATAGTTTGATAAACGTTTACAGCTGATCCAGTCTTGATGTCATTCCAATTCGAAATGGTCGCCACAGCTAGTCAACCTTAGCTAACACAAAAAATGGCTAAAATTCTTTCAGCTTTACTGATAGTGAGCTCAAATTTGGTGTGGTAGTAGCTGAGCGTCATCTTCAGCAGATGGTCTGAGCGCTAATGGAACACACGAGACCTACATTTAAAACTGGCATGCGAGGCATCGGATTTCATTGGAACGTTTAGCTGAATTTACAAAGTATGGAGTAGCTGTTTTATTTTTCTGTCTTCTCACAGCACACGCTCTAAGCTCTTCATACTGTATACCATGGGAAGAAAAGAAACAGGCTAATTTCGCAATTAGCTTTTCTGTAATTAGAACAGAAAGGTAATTGCGGCGGATGTGCAATTAGCATTATGTAAAGTGCTTAACCCCCCACCAGACTTCAGGGCCAATCGCTTTGCCCACTTTACATTCTCCGCTCAGCCAACGATTTGGGAAACGCTCTGCGCCAAACGCCCTCGAACTTCCTCCCACCGCCCCGCCCCCCTCCCACTCCCAATGAAAGAGCTTCACAAAATGAACCGGTTGGGGTCACATGCTTGCTGGCGAGGGGGGTGGGCGGGGGTGCTCAGGAAGTTTTTGCATCTCCTGTTCATCTGCCTCCGAACATGAACGGAGACGAAGGAAATCACTGTCATTCCAGCCGTTACGGCACAAAGCCTCCTGATTGCATTCTGGACTCTGACACGCTTTTTTCCCCCCACAGTGAAGGCAAATGTTCTTGCACAGCATGACTGACTCATTGCCTGATTGCCCTCTCTCCCCTCGTATTTTAAATCCAGCTTTAGCTTTGTGCACACACCCCCCACCACCACCCCTTTCCCTTTTTATCCCTAACTCTTGTTTGTATTGAAACAGATCACAGTTGATATCACTGATAGGTGATTAAGAACATCTGCATGGCTATTTAAATAAAAATATTCCTTCTTAACAAGGTTGGTGTAAAACTTCTCATCTCTTGTTTATTTCTTAGGTTTGAAGCCTCAGAATACTTCTGTAACCAGCCTTTTCCAATTACTGGACAGCGATAAAGATGGCAGGTACGTAACATCTGGATTATTTACACTCAGTCACATTTTTTGACCAATTTTAAGTACGTTTGATATTGAAACAAGACTTGGAACGCAAATAAAACTAGAGAAATTGCATTTCCTATGAAAATGTAGTGTGAATGCTTATTGCAGATGAACATGCTGGAAAACAGCTGAAATTGGCTAAAAACTTGCTGAAATGTAGCCGAAATGGAAGAGCAAGTTTAAATTAGAAGAAAGCAAAAAGAACACATATTTACTGAATTAGGTTTCAATAAGCAGAAATGAGCACAAAAATGAGAAAATTAGCAAATTAGCTAAAAAATAGGCTGAAATTGGCTACAAATTGCTGAAAAGGCAGAAAGAAGCTTAAACTACCAAAATGATGTGGACATAGCTGAACTAAACAAAATAAAAAAAGTAGAATTAGCTGAAAAGGCTAAAATTAGCATAAAACAACTAAATAGTAGCTGAAACGGCAGAAAAAACTGAAACTAGCAGACAAAAGTTGAAAGGAGTATAACAAGCTGAAATTACCATAAAGACGTTAATTAGTTTGAAAGTAGCAAAAATTACCATGAACATTTTGAAATTATCTGAAAAGGGCTGAAATTAGCTTAAAAATGCTACAAACGTAAATAATCAGAAGAAAGCAGAAAGAACAAAGGTTTGCCCAATTAGGCTGGAAGAAGCAGAAATGAGCACAAAAAGTGGAAATTTTCTGAAAAAAGCTGAAATTATATTAAAAAAATACAACAACTGTAGCTAAAAATTCGGAAGGAGGCTTAAATTACCACAAGGAAGTAGAAAGAGCACATTTTTGCTGAATTAGACGGAAAATGGTTGAAATGAATGCAAATAATGTAGAATTAGCTGAAAAGGCTAAAATTAGAATAAAAACAGCTAAAGAGTAACAGAAATAGCAGAAGAAGCTGAAACTTTCACAAATAAGCTGAAATTAGCAGAAAGAAGTTAGAAGAATCACAAAAAATGTTCTAGTTAGCAGAAATATCTTGAAAGGAGCACAAAACAGCTGAAAATAAAACCCAGCTGAAATTATGTGAAAGTAGCTGATTTTTTTTTTTAATTTGCACAAGGAAGCTGAAAGAAGCTGAACCAGAACAAAATGTGAAAGGAGCAGTAAAAGGTTGTAAACGGATCTAAAGATCTGAAGGATGTAAAATTAGCTCATTTCATTTTCTATGAGAAAAAAGTGGCAGAAAAGGCTAAATATTTCAAAAAGCTAAAGTTGCACCAATACCAAATGTCATAGCATCGTTCTCTTGAACGAGCGGAATGTTTTGAAGCATGATTTGTTGAAATGGCACAAAAATTGTGGAATGAGTAAGATGCTGATAAATGTACGGAAGAAAAATGGATCACAATAGAATGAATGCTTCATAAATATTCACACGATTGCAGAAACATTCTTTTATAAAGTTTGGTCATATTGTGTTGGCAGATGTTTTCATGTAATTGCGATTCATTGGTTTGAAGACCACTAGTGACTTTTTTTTATACTGAAATTGCTTTCTCTAAGATTCTTGTCACATTTTCTTTTAGATAATCATGAAATACTAAAGAAATTCTTAAAAAGTATATTTTCTTCCATCATAGCTTTTTATTTTTCCAGCTGTGCCTTTTTTTAAAGAATATAATACATGCGTATGAATATCTATTAAAAGAGGAAGGAGGTTGAATATTTTCAATAGATGATAAATTGTCTTAAATGAATGTCTGATTTTGTGTTATTCACCAATTTTTTGCAGTTAGGTTGGTTTTTTTTTTTGTACAAGTAATGAGAACCATTTAAAACTGTACTGAAAATAAATGGAAATGTGTTACTTGAAGGAGCTGGTGTTATTTCTATAATTGAAGCTAAGAAGATTCACATCAAATCGGCTGGAAATTTCTGACCTTTATCGTCACCAAACAGGAATTATTCAGATCTTTTGATGTGGGGTTTTGTGGAAACGTTATGAACATTTAAGATAAAAATGTCTCTTTGAACAACCTCATTTTGGAAAAACTGTTTAATTAACAGGTTGAAGAGCTAATGGCTCGTGCTACAGCTAGCCACTTTTATTTAATCAATCCAGTCAGAATTCAACTCTTATTTCTTCAAAATTAGGAACGTGAAAAAAGGTATTTATAAAATATAAGATATTCTTGGTTGATAATCGTTTTGCAGAAACACTCAAGACATCTGAACATCTTCATGCCCATCTTCACACTTCACACACCACAAAATAATCTCCATCTAGGTCTGTCGCGATAAACAATAAATCAATTAATCGCGTGATGAATGAAAATGATCAACCTAATTTACCAGCTTTATCGTTTCTTCGTGTCTCTCTCTTTCTACTGAAGACACGGCTCATCTCCGGTGCGCTTCACTGACTCCTCCCTTTCTCTTTAAAATATGTTTTAACTGTCTAAAATCACATTTTTGGATCATTAAAAGCAGCTAAGCTACAAGCTAAGCTAACAGGCCGACCTCGGGAATAAACCTTAGTCTTGTCGAGTTCCAAAATTCATGGTTCAAATCTGTGCCTTTGTGTAAAAAGATTTCTCTGCAAAAAGAAGCTGAGAACTTGTTTACTGTTTTTTTTTTTTTTTTTTTAATTAAAAGCTTTATGTGAAAATGCTATGCTAAAGAGCTCAAACCACCGAGCGTCTGCCATGTCATCGTGTCAGTCCATGTCATGTCAAGGGCCCTCCCTTCCATTTTTCTTAAAGAGACACGCTGCTCAACTTTCCATCCTTTGGTTCAAACAGTCTTATATTGCCATCAGGTGGTCAAAAAAAGGTACTGCAATCCAAACAAATCAACATTTCTTCTAAAATTTGACAATTATTGTTAAATTTCAAACAATATTATTGTTTATCGCAATAATTTCTGAGACAATTAATCGCCCAGCAAAATCTGTTATCGTGACAGACCTCTTATCACCTACTTCCGAAGGCAAAAGAGCAATTTTGTTTTTGTTTTGTATAAAAGGATGTGCAGAAGATTGTAGCCAATATCTGAAACTTACTTAACTTTGTACTGACTTAGTATTAGGGTTATACTAACTAAAGTAGCCTACTTTGCTCAACTTAACCAGCTGAGAAGCTGTGAAGTCTCAGCACCAAGTCCCATCAGCCTGAAATGACAAACTTCCAGTCATGATCAGTGTTGGATGTCGGTTCAGAAAAAGGCCTTCAAGGGAGATGTTTAAACATCTGGCAGAAAACTAGAACACACAATACCCAACAAGCTTGCCTGTCTTCACCATGGTTTTTCACTACAGCCATCTTTATCTTCACATTCCTCATTTTCCCACTACGTGCTTGTGAAAAAAAAAAAATCAATGCTGCTAAAGCTAACAGGGCGTAGTCTGCAGGAATGAAACACAGCTGGGCATAGTAAACCAAGTGTTATACAACACATGACTTTGAGGACAATAATGCTTCTGCAGCATTTTTTTAGGGGAGTGCTGTGTGCCCATTTCTACAGTTGGAAGTGTGCCAATATTCAGCCCTCCACCCCTCACAGCTCTGAAACCATCCATCCACTCTATTTCCCTCCACTCAGGGCAACTTGCCTCTTTGAACAGTGCTTAAATATGCATTAGTAAACTGAAATAATGGCAAGAATCATGCATTTCTACATACAACCATTGTCTCAATCTGTCAACCAGTGGACTAAGCAAGTTGGCTAGCTTAATCCATGTGTATGCCCCTTTTTTTTTACCATGAATACAGATCCTACTAAGATGTAAAAAACAATCTGCCAGAATGTGGGTGGCCTTTGTAAAGTCTTGTCAAGGTCTTTAGATAATTATAAAGTTCAGAGTGGGTTCCCCAGTATCTGTGCTAGAATATGATATGCTGTAGGGTGTTTTGAACATGCACAAAACCTCTGTAGCAAGGCTGGGCTGGTTTATTATGATTGCAGTGTATCGGGGGATCCCAGGGTGGAACATGATGACACCCGTATCCATGATGTGGACATTGCATGCCTGGCATGGCTTCATTGTTGAGAATTTGAAGCAGGACTGACTATGGTCTCATTTAATGAAAAACCATGATCATGACCATTAACTGTTTCTTTGAAGTCCCTGGGGAGCATAGGGTTGCAACAACACTCAACAATGGACATAGATCTGGGCAACATCTTCAGTTTATCCCACGTCAGTCCATTTTCTTCCCCTCACTCACAACATAACTTTTTTTCTAGGTCTGTTTTTGCCTTCCAACTTTTCTCTTTCCCTCTGGGTTCCAGTCAAAGGCTTGGCATGTGACATTATCACATGCTTTACACAGTGTGTGTCCTGTCCTGACCCAGTTTAGCTGTTTTATTTATTTATTTTATTATTATTATTACCTCTGGGCTGATTTACCTCTGGTCAGTTCTTTTCCTCTGATTGGAATTAAAGATCTTCTCAGGCTACCTGATGCTGAGCATATCACTAATGGATCTATTGACAAATGACTGGAGCTTGTTAGTAACTATGTTGGACAAGATTATGGAAACAGGGCCTTGTGACCATTCCCTTGTGGGCGTACAAAATAATATCATAGTGATAACATACATAAAGCATGGTATGTAAGCAGGAGACCATCTCCCTGAAAATAGCTGGGAAACACTTACAGTAGTCCCCCACTTATCGCAGGTGTTACGTTCCAGACATCCCCGTGATAAGTGAAAATTCGTGAAGTAGGGATGTTATATTGATTTTAGTATTATTTATTATTGAGTATATTTTAAGGTTTTATAAACCCTTCCCACTCTTTTGCAATGTTGTAAACTCTTTAAATGCTCTAAAAGAGCACAGCAAAAGAGTGAGTGAAACAGACGGATGCGATGGTTACTGAGTCAATCAGCGCCCGGGGGCGGATTGGCCATCAGGAGTAACGGGACATTCCCCGTAATGTCCCTACTCAGTTCAGGTTAAGGTTCGCTTTGGGTCGAGCTTGATCATTTTAAATAAACAATTCATGCCACTCACTCTGGTGTCCGCCTCTGGTATCTGCCTCACTGAAACTCCCATAGCAGTAGACAGACCCCAACCCCGTCCCCTCCTTTCTCTTTCTGAGGCTGATAGGATAGCCTCTGAAAGAGAAAGGAGGGGGTCCTTCGACGATCACTGAACGGCCAGTCCACCGGGAAACTTGTGCAATCTTATGTTGAAAACCCGTGAAAGAGTGAGTCTGCAAAAGTCGAACCGCAAATTATCGAGGGACTAATGTATTTGTATCATCAATGGCTTCACATTAAAGCCACCAAAGTTGATGCAATTCATTCACATTCAAATAGGTCATGTAGGTCACCAAAAACGTAAAAAGAGCCCTTATCTAATATATCTATCTAATATCTATATTCTATTTTATCATTTTTCCCGATTAAGGCTCTCCAGCTCAAAATATCACCCTTGATTTTGTTGCTTTTCTAATAAACCTAATGTCAAAAATGATACCTTATGTTTGCAGTTGCCAGGCAATTTGCAAACTGTATTAGCATGCATACTGCATACCCGCTTTGTGTAGAACAAAAAAAGTTATTTGTCTGCTTTTGTCCCTAATGACACTTGGCAAAACGTTACCCCATTCTTAATCTGCTTCATTGGAATTGCTAATTATCTTTAATGCAGATTCACAGATAATTATTCTCTCATTTATACTACGAGCTAATCTCATTTGTGTCCATTTAGTCACCAATAATTGCTTCGTGACAAAAACAGCAATCCTTTATTTCCTGAAAGTTTTGAATGCATTGTTAAACAAAATGAATTCTGAAAAACAACCACTTATAATCTGTACAATATGTTGAATTGTATAAACATGATGTAAATGTTTTGTATGTAGATCTTAGGCAGGTAGTACTTAAAGGTTACATGTGAGAGTTTTTGCTAACCCAAATAGCCAAACGAGGTAAATACTCCCTCAGTCATTGGTCATTAATGTAGATTCTCACCATTCTTTCATCCCAAACCTTCCTGTGCAACCACACACTGTGCCAGCTGGCAGGCAGTTGGCAACCCGGTGCAGGATTAACTGGTACGAGTATGCTGGCCTATAAATAGAGTCCACCAACTGCTTCAGGAAATGAACCATGATGGAGCCTCCCAAAGGCTCAAGAACAGGTTGTGCTTTTTATCCAGTCCCCTCTCTCAAGATTTATCACTATGCAAGTTTCCTAATATTCATTACTGCTTTTGTGAGTAAAACCTATGATGAGTGTGTAGATTGAAGCACTTATGATGCCGGGGTTTATATGCATATAAATGTGATTGGGGTCAAAGCCAGTTTTGCTTACAGCAGATTTTCCAAGCAATTTTTTTCTCTCCGCAGCCTTTTTGCTGCTTCACAATGGTGAAAGCCATTGTTTCTCTTGAGCACTTTCCCCTAGCATCGATCTTCTCTAGTGGAACAGGCTACTTGCTTTGTATGTTTGCCTGCACTTCCGCTTTTGATGCACTCCTGGGATTGATTCTGGCTATGCAGTCATTATCTCAGCTCCGTAGGGGCAGTTTAGACTTAACCTCCAGAATGAAGACACAAGCTTAGAAGAACAGCTGAAGATGAGATCTAAGTGTCGTGGGAAAAACAGTGGTGTATGCGTGTGATTTTTAATTTTTGTGTGGAATATAGTATTATGCAAAATAGACAAAAGGACGACTGGCGTGCATACAGCATTCTGCTAAAGTTATAAATCCCTGATTTCCTTATACATTTCTTTCAAGAAGCCAGACTTTGTCATCTTTTAAAGCGGTCTTTGTCAATAGTTCAGACTTTCTAATGTTCTTGTAAATATTGTATTAGGTCTTTAGCTGCTTTTTAAAAAACTTTATTTATTAGCCAGACCTTGTTCCGGAGAAGGAAAGAAAATTGGACAATTGGATACAAAAGGTGAGGTGCTAGGCTTAAAATGGCAAAGAAATGGGAACAAATTGTTATTGAGACCAGGTTCTAGTTACCCATTCAAAATTGGTTCATTGCTAAGTTTTCTGTTATGCGTTCACACAATCCTGGTTTGAAGTCCAGGAGTCTTTTTCTGTGTAAATAATCCATAGGTCACAGAACAAACAAAAACCATTCTTCTGAAATTGGTCACATATTGGATGGAAAATGAGTAAAACAATTAGCAGCCATTATTCAATGAAAACCTTCATAAAGCTCAAAGAATTATTAATCAAGTCTACCTTCAAAGATTGCAAAGAAACTAGTGCCATAAAAACAAAGTATATATCAGGGGTGTAAATCACCAGCTTTACCACGATACGATATTATATTGATTTGTTTGTATGACCATATGGTTTTTCTCGATATCACAAAGTCCGTCACGATACGATTTTGATTCTATTAGATTCACAAGTCTGCGATCGATATATTGCGATATCAAATGCCCATCTCATGTACATATAAATTAATTTACAAAAACAATTCAAATATAATTTAACCATTTTATTTCTATTACAGGCACCATGTATTTAAATAATTAAAAAAAAAATATACAAAGTTTTTCCTTAATTAATGAAAAGATAAAAATAAATGACCTGTTCAGTATAGTCTCACATTTCTCATGTTTAAGTGCATTTTTTTAAACCAGTTAACGTAAAAGTGCCCTGATTACCTTTCAATTATAAAGAAACAAAAATAGATATCGAGCTTACATAACATGACTATCAATGCCGTGTTTCTTCTTCAGGTGAACGGCCAAATTAGTTGTTTCCCGAGTATTTGAACTCAACACTGGCACCTGTTGCACACGACGTGAGTTTTGTCTGTTGAGCCGTCCTTCTGTTGAAATCCAAAATATTTCCACAGTGTTGATTTAAATCCAGCAGGAGAGTGAATTTCAT